CAAAAAAGGTGGTTTTTTTTTTTAAGATAAAAGATCTTTTGGTTTATATGCAACCCTCTATTCTCCCCACCCCTGAAATAAAACCATCAAAGCTAAAAAAAACTCCCCAGCAGCCTGTCCCTGCCTAATATTTGTTAGTGACAAAGTGTACAGGCTGTGATACTAGGGCCTCCTCTTGTAAACACTTACTGGGGGCATGTAATGCTTATTACTACTGGGAGCTGTCGTATTGAAGTGAATGACAATACTCCCAGTAGTAATTTCAGTGGAGAAGACTTTAACCTATCTCACGCACCCACACAGGTTCTTAATACCCTTAATTCCCTATATAGGCTACCTGCATTCCTTGTGCAAGCACAAGAGGGAGGGCAGATTCTAGAGGCCAACAGCTAGTTTCCACTCTCAGAGGTGGGCAAGGAGTTGGGAAAGCATAAGTAAAACCATCTGAGATAGCTGAGCCAATGTCAGGGATGGACTCATCCAGTCCAGCTTCTCTCTCTCTAAAAAAAATGGGGGACAGGGTGAGCAAAAGACCTATCACAGTCTGTTCTCTATTTGTTGTTGATTCTAGAAGGAAGCTCCACCCCTGATTAAGATTTGCTTCTGACATCATTACCTGTGGAGAGGTAGGAGCAGGACTAGAGGCAGCAGTTGCTACCTGGAGAGAGAGATGCCTCAGGCAGCAAGTGATTTAAAAAGTGATGGTCAATAAACTATTATCTCAAACCATGCTTTGAAGCCAAGGATAATTCCATGTGCTTGCATCACTTCTCCATTCATAAATCCGATATACTCAGTTAAATCTCACTACTAGGGAACTTTCTATTAGTTCAATCTTAATTGGAAGCCTGATATGCATTCAGTCACACAACCCTTTTAAAATCCAGCCTCAATATTAAAAGTTTAGTAAACAGAGCCAATCTGATTTGTGTTAACTTAGCATACGGGTACAATTCTGCAAATACCTATGCATGCTAATAATTTTACTTATGTGAGTAGCTCCACTTATTTCAGTACGACTATACACTTGTATAAAGCTATTCATGTGAATATTCTGAGCCTTTAATACACAATTTCAAGTCCAGCGAGTTTTTTCTATAACACCATACTGAAGATATATTCTCATTAAATAGCTATACAAGTTACCCAAATATTCTCACCTACTAATTCTAAGAAGGAAGAAAAGAATTAACAAAGTAAGTTGCTTGTTGTTGTAGTGAGCACTCTTAACGGGCCAGCTATAAAAACAAAATGCCAGACATACAGAGTACTGTTTGATCATCTCTATACTGCATAAAAGATTATCCAGAATGACCTTGATGGAAAAAAACCCCATACTATCACATTTCTTATAACTAGTGAACCAGAAAATTAAATTACACTCGCTTAACAGTAACTGATCTTCTTGGTATTACACTTTATGGGTTACATATTTGCTGCCTTTTCCTCAGCTAATGTCTAAATAAATCCATACAGCAAATGCCAAAACCTTTAAAAAGCTTGAATAACTGGGCAGAAAGATAAGTTACAAATCCACTGACAACTACCATGAGTGAAGAAGTGAGATTTACTGTTTATGAAGACTAATGATGAAAATAAAAGCAGACACCTGTAGGACCCTGGATTTGGATGGGTTTATGAAACTACAGCCAGTTCTCCAAGAGCTTTTATGCTTTTAAAATCTTTTTTTTTTATAGTTAACCATACACACCAATTGGAAGGTGATGTTGGAACATACTAAAAATAAATAAGATTTCATAAAGTTATAGATCACATTTTGAATGTCTATTCACTCAGAAAACATAGTAAACAGACACAGACCAGATCTGTCAACAAGTTTAGGGGAAAATCCATTTAAATGAATGGAAGAGCTACTTGTGTAACTATACAGACATTCATGGGAATGTCAAGCACACAAGAGCTTATGCAATGGGCAAGGTACATGTACTGGTGACATTAGAATCCACCTTTCCTATGGCCTCCATTGTAGAGCAGTTAGTGTGATCAGGGTTTGACTCATTTTGTGTTCTGACAGATGGCTCTTATCTGTAAATATACATTGTTGGGATAATTCCATTGGGGTCTGCCTCCAGTTGTGTGTTCTTGGCCATGGATAAGTTGACAAGTTCATAGATTTTAAGACCAGAAGGGACCACTAGATTGAGTCTGACCTCCTGTATAACACAACAGGCCATCGACTATTACCCCATTTAACTGCCGTAGTGAGCCCAACTTGTGCTTGGCTAATGCAGATCTTCCATAAAGGCATCCCATCTTGATTTAGACTTCCACCATTTCCCCTGGTAGTTTGTTCCAGTGATTAATCACCCGCACTGTTAAAAAATTGTGCCTTACTTCTTGCTGTGTTAAACATTGGACTGCATTGCAACAAAGTAATGAATGTACTGCTCTCCAAACTTATTTCACCCATCACCATTCAGCAGCCATTATCATTGCATTCTTGCATGCACAATCCTACTTGAGAAGAGCAGTCACATCCCCATAGTAGT